CAAAATAAAAAGACTCAACTGTATGCTTAATACTTTTTACACCTTTCAAACAAAAGTAAATATTAAGGTAATACCTCTAACTAAGAAATCACTTAAAATAGCAATACAGAGAACTGAAGTATTGCCTAGATATTCTAAAACAAAACATGTAACTTCAAATCTTAAGTGTCACTTCAAATGTTACTTGAGTTCTTCAGATATTGAAAGCCTGGATCAAGTGTGAGGTGTGTGTGTATGTGTGTGTGTGTGTGTGTGTGTGTGTGTACATGCTATGAGTATGTCCTGAATTATCTATCTTGAATCATCTCTTAAGTAATTGTGATTTGCCAGTCTATGAGTGAATAAACTAAATTTCAAAAACAGACTAAAAATAATAAAAAGAAACTACTGTACTAGACAAAGACTGTGAACATATATGTAATTCAGCCCAGCATGTTCCTGTGATTACACAGTCCTATAATGACAAAAAAATCAGAAAGACTTCACTGAATATTAGCAAGATTTCACACACACACACACACACACACACACACACACACACACTGGACTGGCAAAATGCTTGATCTTTTTCTTTTAAACCCTTCTGTAAAATGTGAGCCCTGCAAAAGATGCATTTACAGAAGAGACGGGATTTCAATGGCTAGGAACCAGACAGGGGATTCACATGCATGTGGGAACATCAGAGGCATCTCAGGTGAGCTCTGGCCAGTAACAAGGCTGCCCCAGTGCCTCCAGATCAGTCACTTGCCTAATAGCAGTGAGGTATTATACAAAGCAATAAATATAAGACTGAGAGGTCTAAAGGTGTGTTAAACATTTGTAAGAAAATTCAGGACACCATCACTGGGCACAATAGCCTTTGGGACTACTGCAAAGAAGGTATTCCAAACTGATAAAAAACGAACAAAACAAAAAAAACAATTACACACACACACACACACACACATTATCTGTCTAGAATTAAGAACTAAGGGAAGAAAACAACTCAACTGAAGATAACCTACAGTGTTCATAATAACAAGACAAAACTACTTTGGGAGTAGAGACTGGTAGTTAAGCTACAGAAAGGTGGTTATTATAAGAAATAATAAAGATATAAAAGCAAAGTTTGATTCCTAAGAAATGGTATTAGAGTATCATTTAGTGCAGAGGTTTTTAAAAGTAGGCTTATTGCTACTCTAAGAAAACATTACTCCCAGGAGGACTCCAAAAAACTTATTTACTCTGATTTAGTTTAGACAGATGGACATATGACTGACTGTAAAATTATCTTATTTAACAAAAAAAACTGTTATAATTCACCAAATTTGTAGGTGGCCATGTTAAAAAGAAACATACAAAAATAAAACTAATTCTATAGGTACTAATAACTAATGAGAAAATAAAAGGAGAACTATAACATTCACAGCAGCAACCTAAAATTATATATATAGAAATGCTTAAGACTATACTTTAAAAGCAATACCACAGGCCTATAATAGAAAAATATCAAAACTTGACTCTAAAAGATCACTGAAATAAATAAAAATTGTATTGAATTCATGAATATTGGAAGATATCAAGCATTCTAAAATTACTTTATAGGTTGATTAGTATTCAAATTAAAATCACCAGCATGTGTGCTTTTTAATTGAAAGGTGATCCTAAAGTTTACTTGGAACAATAGAAAATTAAAAGCTAAGAGCATTAAAACAAAACAAGACAAAATGAAAAGCAGAAAGCAATAGGGTGGAATTTGTTTCACTAGATGTTTAAAAATATTATAATGACACAATAATTAAAATTCTGACCCAACAAGCAAGGAACATTGATACAAATGAATAGAAGTTCAGAATCTAAGGTATTTATCCATATGAAAACTTATTATACAATAAAATAGTGTCAAGGTCAGAAGATAAAGGAATATTTTTTTGTTGTTGTTTAATGGTATTGAGATAATTAGTTGATCCACTGAGAAAAATATAAAGTTGAAACCTCATCATTCATCATGCATCAAAATAAAATAAAAGTAAGTAAATGGGTTAAACTGATATAAAAATTAACATTAAATTTTGAGAATCTATTCTTAAAATCAGAAATGACTTCTAAGTATAAAGACAATGAGGAAATCTCAAAGGGAGTCCCAGGTCAAAAGTCTAAAAATGCTTTTCTATGTAAAAAAAAAAAAAATTAAAATTTTGTCACAAATTTAACAAAGGTTCTATTCCTAGCATAATATTACTCATACAAACTAATGAACAAAACAGTAAACTAAAAAGCAAATGCTTAAATGGTTTAAAGGAACACTTTACAGAAAAAAAGCACAAATAATGTGTTAAAAATCTCAGCCACACTAATAATTTTAAAAAGGAAATGAAAAAAACGTGCATATGCATTTGTCAGAGTTATGTAAAATGATGGTTCTTAGTGTTAGTCGGATGTGGCAGAAAAGGCTGCCCTGATTCAGTGTGGGAAGAAATGTTTCTTGGTGGAACTTTTCTAAAACGCAAATACCAGAAACTATTAGGAGTTTTTAAAAATCACTGGCCAGGAATTTATTCTATGAAAAACAAAACACAGAAATGTTGGAAAATTAACATAAAAAGACGTTCTGGAGAACACTGTTTATATTGGCAAACACACACACACGAGGGGGGCGGGGGAGAAGGATAGAAATGAACAACATTCGGTGAATGAGAAAATAGAGTGGAGTAAGTGTTAAAGTAGAGTTTTGGAAGAACAGTGAATAATATGAAAAAATTCTGATATGTTAATAAAAATTAGGATATAAAACTCAATAAACACAGACAATTTTGTGAAAAGAAATACAGTATTAGATTTTTTTTTAAAGTCAGTCAATGACTTTAAATGAAAGGATATAGGGAATTAGGAAGAAAGCAAGAAAGCAAGAAAGCAAGGAAGGAAGGAAGGAAGGAAGGAAGGAAGGAAGGAAGGAAGGAAGGAAGGAAGGAAGAAAAGAAAGAAAGAAAGAAAGAAAGAAAGAAAGAAAGAAAGAAAGAAAGAAAGAAAGAAAGAAAGAAAGAAAGAGGAGAGAATAGGAAGAAAGGAAGGAGGGAATAGGAAGAAAGGAAGGAGGGAATAGGAAGAAAGAAGGGAGGGAAGGAGGAGAGGGAAAGGAAAAAGGAGAAAAGGTAAAAGGCAGAGAGGAGAGAATGAAACAATAACACCAAAGAGATGTCTGAGTTGGGAGCAAATCAAATGTTCCTAGTGATTATCTGTGTGTAGAAAGATATCTTGTTATTTTTAATTTTCTCCTATGTCCTTCCATACTTTTGCAAATTCTCCACTGTGACCATATATTATTTTTATAACCAGAAAAACAGTCATTTTTTAAAAGACTATTAAGGATAGGAAATTCATCATGCTGCAGCATCCCTATCAGTCCAAAAAAGAACTGGAACCTGAGAGTATGTGCAGACAGGGAGTTAAAATAATGAGAGCCTGGCTCTACTCCCTGATGCCAAACAATGGGTCAGCTTAATTAACTCGGGGGGTGGGGGGGTAGAAAAGTCAGTCAATGACTTTTGAATTAGTCACCTAAAGGACTTAAAAGTTCACTTTTGCGTCCTGGGGACTCATCACTGGGGTGAAAGAAAGGCAGAGTCCAGTAAGTGCCATGTCATCGACATTTCTGGAAATGGTCCAAGAGTCCACAAGAGCTATTCTTTGGCCCAACCTACCCCACCAGGGGATGGTGAACTCCTACCCTGCTCCTGTTAAATCTGGGCTCCGACAGAGACAGAGCCCTCCCCGTGTGTCTAGCACACCCCCAAAATGTGACATAACTAGGTTTTCTTATTATCCTTAGCTAGTCGGAATGACACAATTTCAGTGGGATTCCTTTATATCTTTCTTAAATGATCTAAGGAAAACACTCATTTTTCCCCCCAGGGTCATTTTTCAGTCTTGAAGATATTCCAGTCTTATTTGTCTTTCCTCACCTCCACCCTGTCTTGAGCCTGCATGTTAAAACTTCCATTCAGATGTGAAGTGACAGAAAATTTGGATTTTTTTTCTCCCTGCTCCGCTAAAAATTGTATTTGGGCAAAGAAGTTAATAAAGATGCCCGAAGAAGGCATGAAGAATTCAGTTTAAAAAAATTAAAGAGTGGGGGGTGGAGCTTGAATCTGATTAAAGACACTGGAGCAGCAGCTTAACCAAAGGTGATGGGCTGAGGGGTTTCCTTTATCCGCCCCGCCCCTTTTCCTTGGGAGGGGCATTTATATCCAGGAGGTCACTGGAATGTGTGATGGCACAGATCACATCTGCCAAATGACACAGTCTGGTCGCCTTCGGGTACCATGTCTCCCAGTAAGCCACTTGAGCTGACAGAGCAAGAAAAGCCCTTCTTTAAACTGTGTTAAAGAAACAAACCGCTTCCTGTGAATGCACCCCTGTCATTAGGATAAAAGGAATCAGTGATGGCCTCTTGACCCTTTTGCACATATTTTTTTACTAGTCACCTGTTTGTGTACCATGAAGCCATAATCAGAACTGTTACTATCTGCTGTTATTAGGAGACTATGTTTTAGTTTGTCCTCAGACAAATGACACGTTTTTAACTCTCATAAAACCCACAATCACGTTAGGCATTTACCAATCTCAAAGAGCCTAACCCTATGTTTAGATCTAAACCTATTTTAACTTCTATCATTTAAATGTAGCACACGTTGACTTGTTTGCTACCTGAGTGTGCACTTAAGGGTTTAAGGAAGAATTCCGTGAGCCTAGATCTGCGGTGACCTCGGCTTTTCTATAGCCCTGGCTTGAAGAAGGTAATACCAAAGCTAGCAACGTTTCCCTGGATTCTTAGTTTTTAAATTTCGCATTCAGAAGAAATGGCCGCGGACTACGCACAGGGCATTTCTTCTGACAAAACGGAAATGGGAGGAGACTCATAAATATTTTCCAAACCTCCCCAGTATGGCACACTGTGACATGTGATCAATGGATCCTCATGCTTTGATATGTTACAGCAGGCACTTTCAGGAATGACTTACTGGGTTGTACATCTGATTGAACAACTGCTCAGCTTGCTACATTGCAAAGTTGGGGAGGCATTGAAGCACAGACAGGGAAAGAAGGAAAGATCCAGAAAAACAGCATTAGCTCAACAAATCCAGTGCATTTGCACAGACAAACTTGGTCGTTAAAAAAGAAGAAATTTCAGTTTCTAAACATTCCACAGTGAAAGTGAGAGGCTCTGGGGAAATTGAAATGTTGACTTTGGCTCCTAGAAAAGAATAGCTGGAATAAGAAATTTAAGGTTTGTGTTACTTTCCCTTTCTCAAGTTAAATAACCCATGAAATAAAGAAAGCTGTCCACTTTTGATGATACATGAAGTGCTGGCCTCTAGCAATGAATCAGGAGAAGTACTTCTGGCCAAGCTTGCAATTTATTACCTGAACTTCAAAGATGGTAATAATAAAAGATTAATTAAATCTTATCATTGAATTTATAGCTCTTCTTTTATATTAACACAAGCCTGAATTTTCTATTCAGTCTAACTTTAGAAAAACATAGATCAGCAAACAGCAGGTTAGCAATAGCAAAATATCAGTAAGCAAGACTTTTCAGGATTAAGAGTAAATGGGAGAAGTAAAAATTTCAGTCAGCAGGAAGAATGGAGGGAACCAAAATACAGCATTACCCATTGTTCATTACCAATTTCTACTGTTAGTTTGTACTTAATAAAAAAAATAATATCATTTTCAGTGACTTTCCTACTATGATCCAAGTGTTTAAGAATCGGCAATACTCTCCTGTCTACATTGTGTAGAACATTCAATGTTTGTGGACTTACATGTACAAAACATGATTTTAAATAGTTCTGTCAAGTTCTGTTTCTCAAACAATTGCATCATTCACATGGGGCCCACCAGCAAGGTGCAGAAGGTAAAATACTGTAGGAAATTTTTGCTTTGCTTTACACTAAGACATGTGCCTTTGAAGAGCCTGAATTTTTTGGTTTCTTCAACTTTAATAAAGTAAATAATAACTTTACCATGGCTAAAAAAAAATACCCTTTTCAGAAATTAACAAGGAGTGCAAATAAAAACATTCCACGTTGCTATTGCTTCTCAATTGATTTCTAGTCATCTAAGGTAAATTTGCTTTCACAAATCGAACATCAAATACTCTTTTGAAAGACAAATTGATCTATGTGTCCCTGAGCAGTCCTCCATCCCTAAGTGTCTATTTAAGATGAATGAATGCACTAGTTTATAAAGCACACATATAACTAGTAGCCATGCCTTATTTGGTTAGTACCATTTTACCAGCCTATCAGTAGAGATTTCCTCACATTAGGACATTTGATTGCATTGTTTTTAAGACAGGGGGTGGAATGTGTAAGAATACTTCCTTTTCTGCTTGTAACCACTTTTCATCACAAAGTATTTAATTAGCCGGCACCGGTTTGGCTCAGTGGTAGAGCATCGGTCTGCGGACTGAAAGGTCCCAGGTTCGATTCCGGTCAAGGGCATGTACCTTGTTGCGGGCACGTCCCCAGTAGGGGATGTGCAAGAGGCAGCTGATCGATGATTCTCTCTCATCGATGTTTCTAACTCTCTATCTCTCGCTCTTTCTCTCTGTATAAAATCAATAAAAATATATTTAAAAAAAAAAAAAAAACAAAGTATTTAATTAACACAGTACAGTAAAGGGTTAAAAGCAACTATGTATGTGGAATGTTTTCCACAAACTTTTATATAATCACTCACTTTACTAATTTCAAGAATTGTTTATAAGACAAAAAAACAAATTTAAATCACCATTTGGATTCCATTGTCACTGGCAGACAAGGTTTCTGTTCAGCTAAACACATCTATGTTGTGTAGATTTTTATGGCAAAATTACCTGGACACTCACAAATCATGAGCAAAAGTCCATTGGGAATTCATGGTTTATTTATGACATAATAAAACTATTATGTTTTCAGCTTTCATTTAGTAACCCTTTATATTTTATTCACAAGTCACATACCCTTTTATTTAAAGGGAGGCCCAGACACTCCTTAAGCTTTTATAGCTGCTTATTTTTCCATGAGTAAATGATGTGTTTATATGTATATTCACATACTGTTGGCTTATATTTTCAAATATTTCATGTAGATCTCAATTCTTTTTAAGGTGATGGGTACTTGAGGTTTTTACGGAACTATTTATTAGCAGAAATTAAAGACTACTAGAAAAAGTATTTTAAACTTTTGAATTTAGTTGATGCTAGAGAGCCAAAAATAACAAAATAGCATCTGCAGGTTAGGTATGAAAATATTTAAATTATAATTAACTTATTTAATCTCACTATACTACGCATTTAGGAGATACTATAAGCAAAGATTATTTATATACTTAGAAATAAGTTATACTTTCATAAATAAAATTAGTCCTTTAGAGTAAGACAACCATATTTGCTACTTTAATTCTAGTGATGTGGCAGAATATTAAAATATTGTCAGGAATAATGCTAAAATGTTTACAGAGCTTGATTTGTGAGTTTCAGTATATGGCGTCTTCCTGTGTGTTGAAGGAAACCACATGCTCAAAATGATTTCTCGGTCTAACCATGGCTATGTTGAAAGAAACAAAATTGAATTGCATAGATGCTGATTTATTAAACTGGTCAAGTCATACATGCATGGAAACCATAAGCATCAATATATGAACCTCTCCCTTTTAATTCATTACTAGAAGATTTCAAATCTCGTAGATGACTTACACTAAAAGGGAGGGTGTCTAGAGAAACAAACTGTAGAAATAATGTATGGTGTGCCCTCATCTCCATAATGGCTCCTCCGAGTTGATGAAGGTGAGATAACATGGACCATCCAAGAGAGCCAATGACATCCCCTGTCTCACAGAGTTATCTTAGAGCCTGCTCTGTGATCACAAAACAGCTCGGTAAATAAAAAGTACATTTCTTGGTATGCACATGCATGTATAACATATTGCAGAACACATGTATATATGTGTCAAAAATGTATATTTACACCCACTGCATGAATAGCCAAGTCACTCTCCATTTAAACACTCTCAAATGGGCAATTTAAATTCTTCTATTTATTGTTCAAGATTTCTGCTTAACTAGAAATTGCTTGGGGGAAAAAAGTGAGATGTTGAGTAGATTGGGAAACAGATTTTGCAATACAGAGATTTTTCTTGTTGTTTTATTACCAGGGGATTTGATCTGTATATTTATCTTTTCTGTATCGGTAAGGAGACTTTTTGTTAGTAAGACATTTCTCACGACAATTTCCTAAAATCCCATGGTAAAGTGAACATTGTGTAATCAATCACATTTCAGTTACATATCGCATCCTACAAAATAGCCTATTAAATGTTAACGTATCCAGAATAATTTCTCCACAGGTATAAAATGCTTTCACATCCCTATTGTCCATATCATAGTTTCATAACTTCAGCAAATAAATCCCCATCCAATGGGCTGTGAATTATGCAGTCAACTTTTTGTATGCTTTGTCTCTCTCTCTCTTTTTTTTTTTTTTTTTTTTTTAGATTCATCTCATCACCTTTGAGTAAGTCTATATGTTGTCAAAGGGAAACAAAATGCTTAAACTCATAATGTTATGAGTTTGTGAACAATGAATGCAGACGCACCAAACAACACAGGGAAAGAGTCAAAGGCACGATGCATGACTGGGATGTGCTCCACAGAGATGTGCAGCCCGGGGAAGACATGGGAACGCTTTCTTTGCTGCCTTCTTCCCAAAGCCTCACGCAGAACAAGCTCCCTCAGAAAGCAGGGCCAGCTTAGATCAAATAGAAATAGTCATTCCACAGAGATGCCGGGGCTTGACTATTTTGGTGAACTTCTAGAAATGTAATGTTGTCAGGTAAACTTTGCAAAGTTCCAACAGAAAAACGGGCCTACTTCTAAAAGCAGTAAAAGTTTATCAAAGTATAACCGGGCCCTTGGATTCTTTGGTTGGTCGCAAATATTTCCATTTATCTCTTCTGGTAAGTTGAGATTTGCCCAGAGAGTAATGGCTGGCTTTTATATTTTGTTTTTATTTCCACTACTATTTTCATGTATTTTTTCAATATATTTTTTTTTTCAGACAGGAAACCTAAGATAATTTTTCAGGTTCACAGGCAGATTCGATGCAGACTTCTTAGGAATAAAGTTAAGAGTGTTTAATTCTTTTATCAGCAGACAGAGGAAGATAAGGGGTTTGTTTCCTTTCCTTTCAAATTTTATAAATTCATTGCAAAATGAACATGGTTTTCCTTTTCCTTCGGCCTCACTTACCTTTTTCAACTGCGCTTCCAATTTGCTACATTCTTCTTTCTTTTGTTCGATGGCTATTTCTAGAGATTTTAATTTCGAGTCCCTTTTCAGCCCTGCCGAGGCTAACGAAGATGCGTGCTCCTTGAGATCAATTAAACTAGACTGCAAGAAAAAGAACACCCGTGAGGAAGGGAAACCCTGCCATGTCTGCCAGCGATGCCTTCTACTTGAATGCATCGGTTCTATACATAGCCGTAAAGTGTGCGTGAGGCAGAAAGAGTAAATATAGTCTTACTAACGTAACAATGGTCTGCTCTGGCCAGGAAATTAAAGTTGGCCAGCTTACAGAACCGAGCGGGATCTAATTGCAACAGAACCCAATGTGACCGAACGGTGTGGTCAGTAAATGCATGTTTCACGTCTCCAGGTCCTGCTAATGATGTAAGTCCCGAGGTGGTCTTTACATGTCATGGCAAAGCAGACACCCCGAGCCCCCATTTACATTTATTGCTGTCAGGCCGTGCAGACGCTAAGACAAATAGGAAAGAAAATACGTGCTTTAGTGCTTTCCCACCCTCCCTCTCCGGGAAAACCACGCATAAAAGAAACACCCTATTAAGTGGTGATACAATTCCATTTCTTTAGCAGACAAATGGCCAATGGATTTTTCAAACATCTTCTGTGTAATCGAAGACACAAATATTTTAAAATGTAGAGTAGACTTTCTGTCCCAGTCCACCATAAATCCAGACTCAGCAGATAGAATGAATCTTTCCAATTCACCTAAATTGGTCCCTTCATCATGCACACCCAGAAACCAAGGGTTTCCCTGTACAGTCTAAATTCTAAAAAAACTAAAGAAAGAAGTAGCCAAAACCAGTTTAGCTCGGTGGATAGAGTGTCGGCCTGAGGACTGAAAGGTCCCAGGTTCAATTCAAGTCAAGGGCATGTACCTTGGTTGTGGGCACATACCCAGTGGGGTGTGTGCAAGAGGCAGCTGATAGACATTTCTCTCTCATCAATGTTTCTAACTCTCTGTCCCTCTCTCTTCCTCTCTGTAAAAAAATCAATACAATATATTTTTTTAAAAGAAAGAAGTATATATATACTTCTTTCTTTTTTTATATAACATTGCTGGTTAGGGGGACCATGTCCATCACTAAATATGAAATCATTAGCCACATCTAACTATGTGACTAAGATGTTCACGTTTCACCCAGATCAGACAGTGCACATTTCCTATACACCCCTTTGCACCACAGAGGTAGACACTGAGCACTCAGTGTTCTCTCAGTAAGTGGTGTTGATACTTTAATTCTGGGCTGCTTCCCAGGCACTGGCACCATCTTGTTGATGAAATGACTACCACCATTCCCCAGCCAGTAGCCCAGCTCCTAGGAACCCTCTGCGAGGCAGGTGAGCCATTCTCATTCTTCAGGTCCGGAACCTGAAGCTCACGTGAGCTACGTGTCTTTTCCAGCGTCACCAGGCTATGAAAGGGAGATGCAGGTCTCAAACCCAGGTCTCCAGCTCAAACAGCAATGCTCTTGATCATATCACTCCACCAGAAATAATGAAGGACCTTATACTCCACACATCCTGTCCCGGTGAAGATTGTGACCTTCCCATCTCAATTAGAAGCTCCCTGCTGAGAGCAATTGCATGTTGTTTTCCAGATAGCTTTTAAACTGCTGGTGTAACAGCTTTGCATGTCAACTCAGCTAGGCTGTGGTCCCCTGTTCTTCCATCAGACCCTAATCTGAGTGTGGCTGTGACGGGATTTGGTAGATGTGACTAACATCACAGTCAGCTGACGCTAATAAAGGATATTATTCTCCACCACCTGGGTGGGCCTGATCCGAAATGTTGAAAGGTCTGAAGAGCAGAATGGAGGCTTCCCTGAGACAGAAGGAATTCCACCTGTGGACTGCAGCGTCACCTACCCTCGGAGGGTCTCCAGTCTGCCCTTCCTGATGAATTAGGGACTTTGCCTCTAAATTTTAAAGTTAACTAGCCCCCCTAAGTATGTAAGCCAATTCCCTGCGACACATTGCTTAATGTGGTTACATTTCTTAATACAGTTCTGTTTCTCTGGTGCAAGCTTGACGGACTTTCCCAGCCCGGTGGCAGGCACATTATTATACAGGAACAATAAATGTTTGCTGAAATGCCTGTCTGACATTTGTACAGAGTAGGCACTGTTTACAAAATTATTTTCATTTAAAACTTATGCTCCGCCATGTCATCAAGATCTCGTTTCAAATAGGGGAGTGTGTGTGTGTGCTTGCGTGCATGCATGCGTGTGTGTGTGTGTGTGTGTGTGTGTGTTTGTGTTTGTGTATTTCAAGGTGCAAACCCATAAAGAACACTTGCCATTGGTGAAGAATGCAGCAAAACTCTGTGCTTCGGTCACTTATCAATACAGTAGTTATAGATGCCAAGGCTGGATGATCAGGAAATAAGAGTAGCAAGAGGATTTGTGTTCTTTATTTTCATATACAAACCATAATCTCCTCTATAAAGACTTAAATTTTTAGTTTAAATTTTAGGGCGCATAAATTTAGCTTCTGAGTTTCTCCCAAACTCCTATTACTCATCCATTCTGCCCTTCTCGGATTCCAAACTTAGATTGTACTTTGATTCATACAGAATTATCAGAATCCATTGGTTGAGGGAACAGTTTGAACTGAGAAATGGGCAACCCTGCAGTGATGGAGCACAGCAGAGAGAAAGGTCTGGAACAGCCCTGCAGGAAAAGGTGAAGGGGCCATGAACAATGGTGCATGTGCATGTCTCCGAGTTTTGGAGACTGAATGTGCTTCTCAAACCTCTTCCCCAAAGCACCCCTAAGGAAACTGAAGAGTATTGGGTTATAGTCCAGAGCATCCTCTCCATAACCCCCAACAACCAATTTCTTTAAAGTATATTGTTTTACTGTAAAAATGCAGGTGAGATCTGTTTTCTGTTTCCATGTTTGCTCCAACATAAAAATATTATTTTAAATTGTTTACCACCATGTGAAAATGATGTCCCAGGAGAGCAGCCACATTTAACCTACACCATTGTGTCCAGCCTGGTACCATATATTTTAACCTGGGGATTGAGTGACCCATTTGAGATGAATGAAAATCACCCAGCCCCAGGATAAGCACATAAAAGGCCTTCAATGCAATGGAGCTGTTATTATTATTGTTGATGTTTTTGTTGTTCTCTCAAACAAAAAATATCATGGGACAGTGACATCCAGGCCAAGGCATCAAGAAGAATTTCAAGGAGCTACACCACATGCAGCTGGCAGAGAAGGTCTGCATTGAGCACCACCAATGAAGAGAGTTACATATATGTTTTCCTTTGAACTCAGACAGCTTTACCAAATAAGGGTAAGCCTTCACAGATGCCCTCACACTTAGTCATTAGTCTCTTGAGGCTGCCATGAATAGGGGTTTCTGAGGACTGTCAACATGGTTCCTTTGTTTCTCCAGACTCACCTCTTTCTCAGTTAGCTCAGCTTGCAAAGCATTGACCTTCTCTTTCAGGTCTTTGTTCTCTTTTCGGAAAGATTCTATCTCTTCTAGTCTTTCCCGATCATCTCTTTCCCGCTGTTCTTTCAAGCGCTCAATAATTCTTTCCTGGGAGGCAATGATAAAAAAAAAAAAAAAAAAAAAAAGTGAAACACCATCAGTATAATATGGAATATGGCAAGACATGCTATCCAAAGAAATGAGGCAATAAATGTAAGAAATTTTCTACAAGAATCAATATACAAGATACAAGATTAAAATCCGGGTATGTGAAGAGAGGCATAGCAGACGATCAATACAAGCTTTTGACTTGTTGATGAAAGTTAGCATCATAGAATCACCAGGGATATTGGTGTTCAAACTCAGAGGCTGTTTTGGTTCATGGTGGTGCTGGGAAAATGTCAAGAGCAATCCCAGCAGAGAGAGTTTCAGGCACTGAGGCTCCAGACCTGCCAGAGCCTTGCTGGCCCCACCCTCTCTGCTGGCCTTCCCATCTAACGGCTGAGACCTTTCCTTGGTTTCCGAAGACTCTTCTCTGTGCAGAAAGTGGATTGAAGCAGGACGTAGGACTGACTCAAGTGAAAACTTGAAACAAAATTAAGAATTAGCTGATTGTATGTGTGACTGTCCAATGTGTCTTGGAGATGTTCATTTACTTTCAGAATTTTTTCAGTGGTTTATTAGCAATCAGTAGAGACTCCAAAACATTGCTTAAATTTGAGCAAAGTTCACATTGCAGCTTTCCCTTACTGAGAGCTTACTATGTGTTAGGTACTATATAACCTGCCTGCTTACCTAGTCCTCAGCACAACAGCGAGGTCTGAACCATGACTACTGGGAACAGTGTAGAATGAGGAAACTCAGGCACAGAAAGGTCAACTGACTTATCCAAAGTGGCTCAGCTCACAAGCAGAAGGCCCAGGCTGACATCCAGGGATCTCTTAGTCTTAGAAGCCCATGACAACAGACTGACAGCAACATATGCATGGAGCCATCCAAGGAGATCTGAGGACCTGTCTGCCCTTGACTTTCATACGGAAATAAAATACTATGTTGGCCCAACAGGTGTGAATCAGTTGGTTGAGCATCATCCTATGCACCAAGAGGTCACTGGTTTGATTCCTGGTCAGGTTACATGCCCAGGTTGCAGGCTTAATTGTCGATAGGGGTAATGCAGGAGGTAGCCAATAGATGTTTCCCTCTCTCCCTCTCCCTTCCCCCCTCTCTCTAAAATCAATAAAAACACTTTTTTTAAAAAAAAAATACTACTCTGGTAGACAATGTGTCCCAAACTGAACAACTGATATCAAAATAAGAAACTTTTTTCTTTTAAGGAAAGTTCCACTTGAGAAAAGTTTGAGTTACATTTCTAAAATTTGTTTCAAATTACTCAACACATATCTGAACTTGCTTTTGAAAGCATCATTAAAAAATATTGGTGTGGCCCTGGCTGGTTTTGCTCAGTGGATAGAGCGTCAGCCTGGAGACTGAAGAGTCTCAGGTTCCATTCTGGTCAAGGGTACATGCCCAGGTTGTGGGCTTGATCCCCAGTAGGAGGCATGCAGGAGGCAGCCGATCAATGATTTTCTCTCATCACTGATGTTTCTATCTCTCTCTCTCCCTCTCCCTTCCTCTCTGAAATCAATAAAAAAAATATTTTTTTAAATATTGGTGTGGCAATGACACTTAAATATCCCAATATTATCTTTTATATTTTTGTAAGCACATAGTACAAGACAATTCCTGATGCATAAGGCAATGGAGAATGGTGGTTAATGCAGAGGGAAGTTAGCTGGAACACTGAGTCTGTGATTTAAGATCCCCCAGGGAAGCAACTGTTCTACCTCAATGACAATAATTTATGTATCTAATGCTTTCAAGGAGGGAAAAAACTACCATTATTGTTTTACAATTATTTAAAAATACTTTAAAATGAAGGATATTATTACAATAGTGGGGGTAGAAATAGAAAAAATGAGTCATTAATAGCCTATATTTGTTTCTTCTTGATTCCAGCTACAGTCCTATTTTACTCTGTCTGTGACACTGGTAAGTGGATGATTATGTGCTTACAAAAATATAAAAGATAATATTGGGATATTTAAGTGTCATTGCCACACCAATATTTAAAAAAATATTTTTTTTATTGATTTCAGAGAGGAAGGGAGAGGGAGAGAGAGAGATAGAAACATCAGTGATGAGAGAAAATCATTGATCGGCTGCCTCCTGCATGCCTCCTACTGGGGATCAAGCCCACAACCTGGGCATGTACCTCTAACCAGAATGGAACCTGGGACCCTTCAGTCTCCAGGCTGACGCTCTACCCACTGAGCCAAACCAGGTATGTGATCTACAAAAGAAGGAAATGTCCTCAGTGTATGGGTAGACTCTCAAGGGCTTCTAACAATTTCAGCAACTGAGCCCTTGCTGCCTTTTGCCGACACTTAATGCAAAAGCCTTCGAGCCGGTCACATGGTCACCTGGCCACCAGGCCCTCTCCATCTCATCACGTCCACCGCAAACTGATGGTGTCACCTCACTATTCGGAAGCCTTCCCAAGAACTACTCTGGCCTGGTCATGTGGCATTTATTCCCACTCAGCACCCTTCACGTGGCTTCCAGCATGCCCATCCTCCGGGGCCAGCTTCTCAAATGGCAGTGCTCACATCCAAAGGGCTGGGCAAACTGTCTGGCATACACCAGGCAATTAAAACGGCTGATGGAAGAAGTAAGGACTCAAATGAGGGATCATCTTGTCTTCCAAGGAAGGGAAATAAAACGAAGTATGTGTGTTAACATCCGGAAGGTGTCCGAGTCATTTGGAGAGCAGGTTGATTTTGCTCTAAGCAGTTGTGCTATTGACTGGGCATTGATGACAAAAAAAATCAGCAAGCAGTGTAACATTTTTAAGTGTTATTGATGATTCAATACTCCAAAATATTTCTCCGTCAATCACAAAACTAATTTAACTGTCAGCCGCACAGGGCCAGATGTCAAAAACATGTGTTAAAAAGCCCTAATATGCCATGATCTACTTGATTAACAGCTAACTTGTAGAAATTCCAACAATGTGTTCTTGTTTTAGTCTTATTTGCATTGGCAAGTGTTCCTGGTGCTCTCCTCTGGCTCAGCGCAGTCTAATCTATTTGTGCTTTATCACTGGGTGGAACTGAACTGCAGTGGCCTCCGGCCCTGCTATCTGCTTTTCTCCACTGCTTATCTGCCATGTGGCCGCAGCAAGGCTTGGGAGACCACTTTACAAACACCAGGGGTTCTGTCTGCTGAGCTTCTGTGTGTCAATCCTCGGACTAAGTCATACTCAATCTTAACTTGCTAAGTGGCATTATTTTTTTCACACTCCGAATATTTGAGTAAGTTCCTGGAAATGAAAAGGAACCAACCACACACTCCATGGGATGTAATAATCCAAGTGGAATGGTGAATAATGCCTACCAGGTTCTATTCAATGGCCAAAAGACAGCGAGTAATTCAATGTTCTGATGGCTCTGTAATGTTTAATTAATCGTTTTATTTTTTGCACTGTGTCGGCGTTTAAGAGGATCTGTTCAATTCTGTGTGGATAAAATTAGATCTTATGAGGGAAAGGCCATTAAAGGACATGGTGATATTAAAAGCACAAAGATCAGAATGGTTGAGATTAAGTCCTGTTCCGTCACCTGTGAGCTGAGTGGCCTTAGAATCCTAACATGGGGTAGGCAACAAAGTCCCAACCACGGGCCAGGTGAGAACCTAAGAGACTTCTTGGAGTGCTGGCTCAGGAGTTAGCTTGTGCCACAGTTGATTAGTGATGTCTGCCCAGGGCTCAGAAATGGCCAATGGTGCTGCACATGCACCAAATTTTTAATTTCTGGGTCAATCATTTTCCCTCACTGAGCCCTCTGCCCATCTTACAATGGAAGAAGAACATAGATGTAGTGTTTCTCAAAGTGTGGTCACTGACCATGTGCATCAGAATCACTGGGCGTGCTTGTTAAAAATCACCAGTTCCTGGTCCCACCGCAGAGCAATTAAGTCAGAATTGCCAGGAAATGGAACCCTGGAAACCATTTTTAAAAGAAGCTCCTAAGTGATAAGATTATTTGGATGCACATTGAAGTTTGATACCCATTGGGATAAATACTTAAATTTACTATTCTTTGCCCCATGATAGAGGAGGACCTTACCATTTCTTACTCAGTGTTTTTGTCTGTGCTTTTCAAGTATGCTAGCTTTGTGGTTGTGGCACCATCTGAAAATTCCCTCTAAATAAATCTCTCTGTTTGCTTTTACTCTTCATTACTGGGAAAGGCAAAAGAGTCGATGCAAATAAGGTTTCCAAGCTCACAGCTCACAGGTCAAAGCTGGCCCCCAAAGCTATTTGGTTTGGCTTGAACATTGTAATTTTTGAAAATCTGAACGTGAATGTTATGAGACAGGTCAAGGACTCTCCAACTCACCGCAGTTACCAATAGTCCCTACTGCATCACACCAAACCCACTTCCCTCGTTTTTGTTCCCTGCCAGGCCCTCTGAGACATCTAAGCTCTCAATTCCTCATCTATGGTGCAATTCAGCTTTCATGTGCCTGAGACTGAGGCCCGGCAAGCTGAACAATTACGGTCAAGGCAGGGCCCCAAAGGAACTTGGCGATCAGCTCATTTAGACGTGCATCTTGAAAATACAGCACTAGCAGACACAGAAGAAGGTAGCTCCTTTTGGTGCTATTATCAGGTAGTGGAGGCAGTTTGAGGGGCCAGACTCCCACAGACCTCAGCTTCCTTCCCAGTCATCCCCTCAGCCTCAAAGGAAGTGCTTAAGGAAGGGAGTAGTTTCAGATTTGGGAATTCTTTGGGATTTAAACTAGAATAAATCAAATCTTAATAGAGCCGAGGGAAAAAAATGATAAAACCCTGCCAAGAATTCACGACATGGAAAATTATATGGTATATGTTTACTTCTGTAAATTTGGAGAAAGAAATTTGGAGAAAGAAAACAAGTAGGCTGACATCCTATCGCTCAAAAACTGCAAAAGGGAGACATAATCACTAATAGTTCTGAACCAGCATTCCCTCATTCAGATTTTTCAAACAAAACCACTGCAGAGAGTTTTGGCAATACATTCGCAAAGCTAAAAATAGAAGAATATCTTTCCCTGAAAAGTCATTATGTTTACTCTTAAAAGTCTTCAAATAAAATCATCTATCTTATAACTTAACCTGAAGTGATAATCTTATCATTTTAATAAGGAACGTGAAAGCTAGCTAGCCATAGAATAGGACTATATTTTTCAGCCCCTGTATTTCTCACATAGATCAGTGGACCCTCGGACTAGGGAACATAAAGATGACCTGGGCGCTGGCTAACGTGCAGACGCCCAGTCCCTACTTGAGCTGCCCATTCAGTCAGCATAGGTGCTGCCTAATAACTTAGATTTTCAACATGCAACTCCTGGTAATTCCGAAGTAGAAGTCAAAGAAGACTTCTTGAAGACAAACTGGTTTACAGAACTGGGGGCCATTTAACCGAATTTTCCCATCCCACAAATGGGAATGTTAGGTCCTGGGAAAGAGTTCCTTGACCTCTGCAATCTCATGTATTTACTTATTGATTGTCTCTCTCTCCTTCACCCTCATTAGAATCTAACCTCCATGACAGCCTGAATTTTTACCCATATTCTCTGCAGCAACTCCACTGCCCACAGCAATGCCTGTCATCTGGTGGGGTCTCACTCAATCCAACTCCGCTGAGCACTCCCCCATGCACGTATTATTATCCCAGGCAGGGGGAAGGCGAGCTAACCACACATAAATAACACCCAAATATGGGTGCACTTCTTGGGCTTGGAGTCCAGCAGAGAAGACCGATTAATCATGTAGGCATAGATAAAAGCACAATTAAGATTGTGGCATGAGCTCTGGGAAGTTCACGGTATCCATGAGAACACAGGAAGGATTTTACTGATGAGGCTTCCCTGAGAAAGTAAGTAGTAAAATAATAACAACAGCTGTAATTTATTATACCTATCATTCTAAACAAGAACAGAGAAAGAAACTGAGGAAGTGTAAGGTGAAGTAACTTGCCCAGAGTATAAATGGATTTGAAGCCAGGCAGTCTGACTCCAATGCCCACACTCTTAACTACTATGGGATATAGCTTCTCAGGAAACTGAGCCCTCAGAAAAAAGGAATCAAGTCTGCAGAGAGTAAAGAACATGCTAGGATGAGTGACAGCATGCGCAAAGGGTCTGAGGCAGGAGGGAGCATGACACACTTGAAAAATCGAGAAGACCAGTCTAGCTAGCACAGGGGGAAAAGGGAAAGAGAGATAGGGGGTGAGTCTGGAAAGAAAGGAAAGAAGGAAGAAAGAAAAGGAGGAAGGAAGTGGGGGATAATACAAAAGAGAAAGGGCAAAGGAGAAGGAAAGAGAAAATGGAGTAAGACAGACAGATAAGAGCCAGATCAGATGGAGGGATGGACTGTATGGACCAGGTCAAGGGTTTTACTTTTTATCATCCAAGAACAAGGACAAGCAGGGCCAAAGGTGAGGTGCTCGGCTTGCATTTCCAAAGGACACCCTTGGCTTCAGTGAGTGGAGGCTACGGCAGAGGGCTAGCAGGGGAGTGGGCGGCCCAGCTGGGCCTGGGGGCAGTGTGAGTGCAGGGAGAAAAGAGGGTTCATTTAAATGCATTTGCAACATCTCCTCCCAGCCGTGTTTCCCTGAATCCTGATACCCCTGCTTCGTCCAAGCTCACCTTCTCTGACAAGGCCTCCTCGAGCGTCGCCAGGGCAGTGTCGGTGTTACTGGAATCTGTCTGCAAGGACTTCACTCTGTCCTTCAGATTGGTCAGCTGTTTGTCTTTATCCCTAAGCTGTTCTTGCAAGTTTTCAATCTGAAAATAAAGATCACCGTAGTTAATGCATAGGTTACTACACATCCAGAGCCAAGAATCCTGAAGTGAACGTGTTTAAAAACATAGATTTTTGAGATGACGGGAATTGACCGCATTCCAAGGTTACAGTCTGACTTAGAATGAATGCTGTTTGGACGAAGCCTTCCTTCTCCCACATAATTCACGCTTTGCATTTAAAGGATGCTACCGAAGAGCAGAATACCAACCTCCATACAGATGCAAGCCCTCTAGACATGAAAGCACTATTGTTTCTATCTGTTTCTATCCCCTCCACCAGCCTCTAAGTCTCTTATCCAGAGACCTCAGCATGGCACAGCAAATCGGAGAAACACAACATACAGTATTTGTTCACTCGGTGAACAGAATGGGTACCCAGTCTGCGCCCGGCAGCGTATCAGGGTACAGCAGAGCCCATGTAGTCATTCACTCACTCCTGTACTCAGCATTAAACCCTGTGATATGCCAAACGTTGTCAAGTGGCTGTTTCAAAAGAAACCACATGAAAAGCCAAGTAGGTTATCACCAGTAGACTGTTAATGGGAGGAACTTGTGATATAAATCAAATGTAACAAGTACTAAACACTCCATTTGGCAACTAAGTCATGTGCTGGCAACCTACCAGGCACTTTCATCCACTATCTGCAGCCTGAAATAAACACGCCGAAGAGCCGGCTATAACGCCTGCCTGCCCGGGAGCAGCAGCCAGGACCGTGCAGCGGGCATCGGGAGCATTATCATTCATGCTTTTATTCTCTGCTTTCAAACCATGTATTTCTTATCTCAGGATTAAAAAGGAAAAAAAAAAAAAAACTCCACTGTACAAACAATTTATTCGTATTAAGGGTTTTAAAATGACAAGGAAAAATAGCAGTACAACTCTCAGATAAGTCCATTCAAAATATTTGTGTTCTGCACACCCAGGCTTTCTCAGGAAATCATTCCAAAGGCATGTCTCACAATGTGTGACTCAAACAAATTTTTGGATTACTTGATCCGTTTAGCATGAATCTGGAATGGCACTACGCATAACGACCTTCCTCGCAGCAATTAGGAGGCAGAGAAGGTGACTGCGGAGGTGGCGGCAGTAGCAGCATCAAAATGGTTCCGAAAACAAAGACAGTGATGCCGCTGACTCTCAGCCTGCAGGGGGAGACTTGGCAAACTTTTCCAATGGTTACAGGGTAGTGGGAGAGCAGAAATGGACTTTCTCTCCTTCCATTCTCCCTTCAATCCTTCCTACAATATATTCCTTTCTCCCTTCCTTTCTTCTTTTTTTTTTTTTCTTTTTTCCTTTTGCCAATGTATCTTTACTAAGACATGTTTTCCACCTTGAGACACATATCCTGGAAACTCAGGTTACAGATAAAATAATTAAGCTTCTTCTTTATCAAAATGCAATGTGGCTGAAACCGGTTTGGCCTAGTGGATAGAGCATTGGTCTGCGTACTGAAAGGTCCCAGGTTCGATTCCGGTCAAGGGCATGTACCTTGGGTTGTGGGCACATCCCCAGTCGGGGGTGTGCAGGAGGCAGCTGATCGGTGTTCCTCTCTCGTCGATGTTTCTAACTCTCTATCCCTCTCTCTTCCTCTCTGTAAAAAATCAATAAAATATATATATTTTTTAAATGCAATGTGTCCCTATCTAGCCATCACTGAGAGAATAACTGTCCCTCTACAGAAAACAGGAAAAAGGCATCATCATCTGCAGTCAAAACAGAGACTTCCTCCATGCCAGACAAATGCTCAGAGTTATGCACCACAAGCAAATATCTGAGTGAGCACAAATATGGACAGTTACATGTCAAACTGATGGTTGCTATAGAGAAGAAGCCAGCAACCAAGCGGCCTGACTCTTCCCACAGTGCATGTTACTGTTTGGAGTACACACATCCCCACAGATACATGTGTGTAAGCATGTATGTGCAAATCCATGGTGGTTCTGAGCAAATCTATTAGACACACCTTGTCCAACCTGCAAGGCAGTGCCCCAGACAGGGTGGAGGGACCTTCTCTCAGGACAGCAGCCCTGGGGCAGGGGGAGGCCCAGATTTCAAGGGGCTTCCAGCACTGGAAACACAGGCTAATGGAGTCTGGCTGTGAGCCTCTGTGGGAACCCTGGGGCCTCCCCCAAAATTACCAGAAAAACAAAGGAGGTTGAGGATTAGAGGTCCTCCCGGAGGTGGGAGGTAAGAGTTGAAGAAATGTGGGCTGGTGAGACCTGGGACACACAACTGGCATATCTATTTATCTCACACCTAAGAACCAACAGAAGAGCCAACGATGTCGTAAGCCAGCCTGAGTGACAGCTCCGGAATTTGTAGAGCAAGGGGCACACAGCTATAAGCAATGATGCACAAAGACTCCAAGAATGATCTCAATAGAGAAGCACACAGTGCCGAACAGTGTGGAAAATACAGTCTCTGTGTAAATAAATAAATAAATAAATAAATATCTTTAAGTACACAGTTATGTAGCTACTGAAATTGAAACATTTTTTTTTTTCGGGGGAAAGAAACAAAAGAAACTTTACAGTACTTAACTTTATATAGAAGATGTAGATCTAGGGTCCAGAAAATAGAAGGGAGTTTCTGTTTCTCATTCTCATGCACCTCTATAGTTTTCGGCTTGAATTTCCTAACCATGTGGGTTTTATTAATCTTTAATGCCAACTGAGATTATCTGACTGGTGAGATTATGGGTTATCTTTAGCTGATATTTGTATATAAAAATAACATTACATACAAAAGTAAATAATAAATAATTATGTAAACAACAAATGCCTACTTAAAATTAAATTGTCCAAGTTACTAACAATTACAGATTGTTGGTACATTTAAGGCATTATGCACATATTTAAAATCACATTTGCATACAAATGCCACTAAACAGAAATAGTAGAATGCAAAGGAGGGAAGAAGGAAGCAGAATGTAAAATAACATGTTTGTTAAAAAAAAAAAAAGTTTTTACGTAGAAAAAATACATACACAAAAGAAAATCACTACCATGCTATTTTTTTAAGTAATGGTGTGACTAATGAATTCAATGTTCTTTTTTACACTTTCCTACATCTGCCCTGAACATAGTAAACAGGAGGCTGGGAAGCCAGGGTGAGGGGGAAAAGCCCAGAATGATGCCCAAAGTTTTGATGCAAATGCTAATGCAGACACTGTGGCTTCAGTCACTGAATATCAGAAACTGAGCACAAACCCAGCTGTCACTGACAATGGACACCACCCCCAGCCCTGCAGTCATGCAGCCCATGACCTTGCAATCGCTGCAGCAGAGTCACTCGCACTCCCAACCTCCCAAGCACTCTGGGGCACATACACCTAAGGGACAGAATGTAGTTAAGGCACAGAGCCCATCTGCAAAGGAATCTGAGCAACCACATGTTGCCATTTTCAAGTCCAGCATGAGAGCCCCTTTCATAAGCTCAGGGGGAAGTGCAAGTAGAGATAGCCAAAAACTGACCCATACCCACAACAGTGGGGGAGCGCCCCTGTGTTAGCTCCTGAACCCACAAACTAACCACCCAGGAGGAATTGCCGTATTTTCCCGTGTATAAGACAAGCCCCACTTTTCCAATCCAAAATTAAGAAATCAATATTTTAAATATTTTGCTGGTTTTCCTCTTCTGGCCTTCTTCTTTTTTTTGACATCTTAGGGAGTTGTTCTTCCTGTTTTCTCCACTGTCTGATCCCACAGTGGGAGGAGGTCCAACTTGTCTCTTTGCAGCTCTACTTCCATGCTCTTCTGCATAGCTGACTACATTCAGTTTGAATTTTGCTGAGTAAGACAGTCGCTTTACTGGTATTTATCTTTTTATTTTTTGACATTTTTATGGGCTCAAAACACTCCACCCCTGTTGCATCTAAACACTCTCCACCTCCACCTCCAATTAGGACATTAGCTGATGTCAGTAACAATAGACTTGTGATTGGAGGAAGCCCATTTGACAAGGTATGGGCAGCTACACACCCATGAGGCTCCCTCCTTGGCTGATTTCCATGTATAAGACTCCCCTCAATTTTCAGTCTAATGATTTAAGGGGGCAAAAGGAGCATCTTTTACAAGGAAAAAAATGGTATTCTGAACTATATCTCTATGAAGCTCTCATAGTGTTATACATCTAAGCTTTGATTCAGACATTTAGCCAAATATGGTTCATGCAACCCTTTGTTACCAGACTGTGATAAGAAAATTATTACAGACAGAGAGAGTGTCTGAATATTCAAGATCATGGGGATGGACTTCTTACTTTGAGCAATATATAGACCAGGTGAGATGTTTTTGAACACATGTGTCATATATGGCCAGAACCACACAGTGATCATACACAGTAGGACCACATATTGTTACATGACAGATTAGAAATTAAAAAAAAAATAGATTGCTTGGAAAGCACAAATATGTAGACCTACTAATCTCTCAAAGCTTCTGAAATACCTTCCTATTCTCTTTTTTTTTTTAATTGTGGTAAAAGACACATAACAAAATTCACCGTTTTAACCATTTTTAATATCCAGATCAGTAATATCAGTACCTTCATGTTGTGTAGTCATCACCACATCCATCTATCTAGTCTGCATTTGGTTCTGCACAGGTGTATCTCAAGTATAGAACCAGCAAAGCCAAGGCAGAGAACAATCCCATCACCACACAGATGCCCTGTGCTGCCCTTTTTTTCACTGCACCCACTCATCCCCAGCCTCTGCCCCATCCCCAATCTCCGGCAGCCATGACTCTGTCCTCCATTTCTATAATGTTGTTATCCCACAAATGTTACATAAATGACCTGTGGGACTGGCTTTCAGCACGGTTCTCTGGAAATCCATCCTCTTCGTTGCTAAGTAATAATCTATGATGTGGATATTCCAGTTTGTTGAATGATTCACCTATTAAAGCATAATGTTGTTTCGAGTTGGGGCTATTACAAATCAGCTACTACGTACATTCACATTGAAGTTTTTTCTATAAAT